CTGGAGTTCCAGGCAGTCGTAAGTGGCCGGATGTGGGTGTGAACAGAACTGGGCCATCGGAAAGAGCAAAAAGCATTCTGAACTGCAGGGCCATCTTTTCAGACCTTGTTTTGTTTTCAATCTGAAACCAGTGGCACTGAGGTCTTGGTGCTCCTGCCTCAGCCTCCCAAGTGCTAGGATTCTATGTGTCTGCTACCATGCCTGGCTCTGAACACTGTTAGGATATTAAATGGCAAGTAGATAATCCGGGGTAACAAGAAGGACTCCTCAAGCTCAAGATGTATAATTGGTGCATTCAAATGTCAATCTTTCTCAAGACAACTGTTTCTCCCAAGACATATTTTTCAATAATGTGCTTGCAAGGGCAAATGGGGAGTAAAGTTTAAAGGGGAAAGTCCAAGACATGGTTCACGATCGCATGGCAACAATACATACCCTGAGCTATAGTTGAAACATACAATGAAACATGCAATGTCACCAAAATCCAACTATCACCGTAATAAAGGTACAAAAGCCAATAAAAACCCACCAAAAGGAAACTACATAAAACCTTCACTTTTATGTGTAACATGAGTAAGCAATCAAACACAAACATGAATTTAATTCCAATTTATATTTTTGGGGCAGGGACAAAAGTAGCCAATCAAAAGATCTAAGTAAAACGAGTCGGTGTGAGGCCTTGGCCAGGCTTCCTAAACTGCCTTGTGTCTTGATCTTTTTGTTTCTTTAATTAGTGCTGTGTCCACCAGCATCTGCCTGTGTTTACTGGTGAGCCACATGAGCTCACTAATTACCTTTAATCATACTTATCCGAATCCCATCTTTACCTTCGCAGACATCTTGCATGCAGGAAAAGTGCTGGGAGACCACAGTTGGCGAGACATTGGGCTGGGGAGTCTGTGTTTTCTCTACGCCTGACAGTACACAGAGAATGCGCCCCCAAGCAGCACTTCTAGTTCAGCATTTTCTGCTCCTGAGATTCCCAGTGGTTACTCCCAAGAGTCTGTTCCCTCTCTGGAGAATTGGGCTGCATCAAAGAAGCCCTATTTCACACACACCGCCACTGCCACCACCAGCAGCAGCAGCAGCAGCAGCAGCAGCAATATCAATGACCAAAAAAGCCCCGCAGGCAGCAGGTTCAAAGTGTATGAATTCAGATGCAATTGATAAGGACTGCAAGACAGCACCCCCTCCTGCTTGCCAAGGGCCAGCATGCTGTGTTCTGCCTATCCCACAATGCCTCTCTCAGTCCTGAGAAAAACGAGTGCAGAAGAGTGCTTACCAATACTGTTGCAAACGGCAGAGCCTGCACTAGCTGTAGGGAGAACTGGACAGTCTTTCAAAGCCACTGTCAATCTCACCTGGAAACTCCCGGCCCCTAATCCTTTCTGTCATCAGGTAATGAGAGACCTACTAAAGAAGGGAGATATCCAACCTTCACCTCACCCCAGGAGCAAGAGAAAACACAATGCGGAACACAAACTCCCACTTTCTCCCAGAGAAACTATACGGCAGCCTTAATTCTACACTGGACAGCCTAGAAAGGAGCCTGGGTCCTTCGCTTATCTCCTGCTGTAGCATTAGCACATAACTCAATCTGTAACTTACTGTCCAAAGAATGGGTGCATAGACTGTCTCTGAATTTGAATCCAGACTGGCCTGAGTGAAGGTCCTGTCTCAAAACACAACAAAGAAGCATCACTAAAGGTTCTGGGACTGTTGTATCATACATGTTCTCATCATCCATGTCAGCCGTAAGCAAGCTGGAGAGCTAGAGCAATGACGTAACTCCTCTGTGTCTTGTCATCTGCTTTTAAAAAGTGATGGTAAGAGTAAAACCATATATTAGTT